GCAGCTACTGTTCTCAGCTTCCTTCGCTTAGCCTTCTTTCGAAGCACGGCATCGTCCTAATTAGGTAATCATTTAATAAAGAGAAAACAAGGTACGAATTGAGTAAAACTAGATACGAATTAATCAAAACTAACCTCAGATTTAGCAACGCCGTTAGTAGTACCCGTTGAGGCGTGCTTTCCTGACTCTCTAATCTTGGCCACGAACTGATTATAGATATTTGATCCAAAATCTAATAATCCCATTCGATGTGCGAGAATTTCCGAATCAAGATCTATCAATGCTATCTTCGTCTTCTCTCGCCTTTTGACCATATCAAAGAGTGTTACAGTTTTACGAAGATCATGTCCAAGTTTCAACACCTTAAAAACGGGATTTAATGAAAAATGTAGTAAATAAAACCCAAGAAAACTCAAAAAATGAATAAAATTGTACCTTCTCGTACGAATCTTCGTCATTCTTCCTGTTCTTCCTTGTCTGCATCTTTTCAGCACGCCTTCTAAAGGCGACGTACGGATTCACTCCACCCTGCTGGTCCTATATTTAGCAGGTGAAATAAATAGGGCAGTTTAAAAGTAAATTACCAACTTTTCGACATTCAGTGCGTACACGGGGTATCAAACCTCCGACACCAAGTTGGAGTGATCGAACCGTTGTGCTCTTCTCTCGCTTTGCCAGCCAATAATCATATACATCATCAACAATGGCTTCATCAAATGCTATAAAAATAGACGCATAAAAATAGTAATAGCAGAAAGTATAAACAAGCAGAGAAGTGAAGAGTATAACTTGAAAAAAACCGTTTGAAAAATAAGTATTTCATAATAAAAAAAATACATAAAAAACTCAAAAACTACACAAACCTAGAAGAGCAGATCGAGCGGTGTCTGGTAAGCAAATGTTATTATCAGACGACTTCGCTTCAAGTGTATCAAATATCCGTTCCAGTGCGCGTGGATCAATGTGGGGCCTCTTGGCCAACCATTGCTCATCCTCAGAATCAACATCATATTCTGCCTCTTCTTTGTCCAAAGCCAGCCAGGCTATATATACATCAATTAATATTTATTCCACACATATAAAACAGATTCTCACCTTGAACTTTTATAAGGCTATTCTTCGGGGGAGGTGGTTGCACTGGATATGCCTCATCATAACGTTTCGCATCTACAGGGAACACTTTCGGAGTAGGTATGACGTGATTGTCGACACGTACTCCAGAAGTACTTGCTTGTTGTGCGAGAATGGCATCTTGGAGGTGAGATTCCTGAAGGAGAAGAAAATCGAGAGTCGTGTGTGTATGTCCGCAAAACCCCGCCTCAACGCACTCATATGCACAGCCTCAAGGGTAATCGTTACGGGGGGCGATCGATAGACGCGCGGGGCGCGGCGCAAGTTCGGGGGGTTGTTTACGCTGGGTGCCGCACTAACGGAAATCACAGTAAAACTCTGAGAAAGTGTAATTTTGGAGTTTTCGAGGATCTAAATAAGTTATAGCAAAAGCAAGAAATGGACGGGTTCAGCGCGACCTAATTTTTAAGAAGTTTGCAATAAAATAAGCAGGGTGAGGTTGATAAAGTTGAAAGTATGTCACTAAAGTCAAATCTCAAAACTGTATCACAATGAAATGCGAACAAGAACCCGTAACAGGAATCTTTCGTAACTAAACGATGGGTAGGCGTACAACAAAGGATCGATACTGCGTGAAGGGGCAGCCATGCTGCGGACTCACCATCTCCTCCTCCTTCTCCATGCCGGTCGGCATCTGAGCGACTGCTCGAGCAATCGGAGCACATTCTGACAGATCCGGGAGTTCGGAGGCGAAGAACACACACATCGCCTTGTTGGCATCGAGGTTTCTGGCTCGGAACGACAACTTCGACGTGGTGGCCATCTCGGTGTACTCCCGCAATGTAACTACGGAAAAAGCGTGCGGCTCCTCCGCCGCGCGTCCTAGAGCAGTAGAATGAACGAATAGGAATCATCCGCCGTCTACGGCGTCCATATGTGTGATCAGTTGAAGAGCGAGAATCCTGTGAGTAGGACGGAAGGTGCAGCAGTGACGGGGAGGGCGCCTAGCCAACTATCGAC